ATTGCTTCAAAAGTCTAGCAAAAATGTCCGGAAACGGTGTGCGCAAATTATCTCCTATGACAAGCTTATAACGCTTCGGGACCCAATGCTTCCTACTGTCCCGCGCAATGGTGCTCAAAAGTAGGCGTGGACATGCTGCTGCAGTTAGACCGTGCATATCTGTATGTACGATTTCTAATACTTGGTATTTCTTGATTCCTGCGATATTTGATTCCCTCTTCATGAAACGCGGAACCCTCCAATGGTGATGATGCTGTTGACCGCGACCGCCATGGAGTTAATATCATGCAAACGTCCTTCACACAATTTGAGGGAACAGTAGAGAGTATCGCCGCAGTACAGTATTGCACATGCAAAGTTTTCGCGCTCAACGGACAACGTGAAAGTCGAGAGTCCCGGAAAGTGCCGTAACCTCACAAGATTAGCATTGCTAAACCCGCTAAAAGCTTATTCCGTTCTTTTCCCACTTCGCGATTACTTTCTCATAGTACAAGCTATCGTTGCGGCTTTTTTCCCGACATGACACTGCATTCCAAACTTCTGCGCTTTGCACAGTGACAGATGTGAACTTTGAACAGAGACTTGCAAACAAAAGTGTCCTCATCATTGAAGTGTCAATCGAATTATCTCAAAGCAGTCTCACTTCATCCAGGAAAGTCCTGCATTTTCATGCATGTTCTGATGATAGGCAAGAAAAAGCAACATTTTTCCTTGACAAAGACAGCCCTTCAAAATTCACCATAGGCGTACAGGTCTTCAACAAAAAGCAACTTCTTCCAAAGAAAAAGAGACCACTACAACTAAACATCTCTGGAATCCATTGAATGCTGCAATCATACTTATCACAGAGCGTGCTGACGCAGCTGCGACCCATGCTGCAATGCGGCAGATCTGCCTCCGAGTCATGATAAGTGCCAAATTTATCGAAACGCTATAGAATGAAGAGTCTCCTTGAAATCAACCTGCACTTGATTGGTTGATACAAAAAAGTTGCCTAATTGAAGGAGCATAGTTTAAGAAAATGGAGAAGAGGAATGATGACAGCTAGCAACGTCGAATTTGGCTAAAGATAAATGATTATCTGTATGAGGGGGAGTTTTAAGAATTTATAGGAATTGCTCAGAATGCTCAGATTGTAGAAGGAGATTATTGGAACTTATCCTAACGTTTGAAAAGAATGGCTAGGATTGTAGTAATTTTTAAGACCATAAATGACACCCAGCAAACAAACGTCTTTTTAGCTGAAGATAAATGATTATCCGTATGGGGTCGTTTCAAGGAGTTTTCATAATCATATATCATTACAACTAAAAATTTTTTTTTGGGGGGGGGGGACGGAAAAGGGACGGGATTTCTTTTCATTTTTGAGTGAAGGGCTTTGACGTCAACTACGCACTCCATAACCTTCTAGGATGCTTTTCAATTGTCTGTAAAAACGCAAATTATTCAATGATTTCAGTTAATTTTTGCAGTAAAAAGGACGAAGGGGCGGGTGAGATGATTGAATTCTTCTACCCACTACCCTGGCAATTTCCAGTAATTGTGGTAGGGACTATACTACCTCCACAGTATTTGCGTGCCTTCGTCTATGTACTTTTCGTCGACTACTACTTACTATTAGTTGCGTGCGTGACTGCAAAGCACTGGAACAAATAAACAAAGTGCCCGGTCACTTTTTCTGTCTGTGTGACAGCAATGATTGTTCAAATTTCTTAGGTTACTACACATAGTCTGGCGGAGATTGTGACAGAAACGAAGATGAAGGAGGTTCGTAATAATGTTAAGGATATGAGGTTATTTTGCTGCAAAATGATTTATGCACTATATTTTAGGAAAAGTATTAGTAATAGGAATGTTTTCTGAACAAACCATGCAATTGTCGAAAACTGCAGTAACTAAATTTCTTTGCTTCCTAAAGAGTTCCACGATCTGAACCAATTTATATACAATCAATGAAACGGAGTTATGATACACTTTCACTATATCATGCTTTTCAGTAAGGAAGATAGAAGACTTTTTGCATATTGACTGATTGACTGATTTTTGCATATTGACTGAGTATTCTTAGTCTGATAGAATGAGACTCTAATTTTTATTGTTAGTTAAAGAAGTTTGATCGGAAATAAACGAGATCTCAGTCATGCAACAAAGACACCTAATCGATAGATTTATTGCATTTTAATTAGAAAAAATTTAAATTGGATACTCGATAATAACTGACCAAAACATACAGTGCAAAGACTTGATCCATTAATTTCTAGGTTTTAGTGTGATGTGGGAGATGAATGAAAGAGGAGGGCAGGTGAGGTGCAGCTTCACTTGAAATTTGAAAAAAAATTCTGAAGTCCTTAATGATGCTTTAGAAGGGAATACACCTGGAATTTCCAGAATTTTTGTGGCGTCTGCTTCAATGCATTAGGCCTTAAACTACATAACAATGGCGGGCGCAAAACTTTTGAGGGAAGAAAGAAGGGAGGGATATGAAAAACTCTTGGGTGTCTTGAGTTTTCGTAGGCATCCTGCATCTCCATATTTCCTTACGAAGTTGATTTTATTTCCATAAAATTTACAGATCTGTATCTCACAAAAACAAAGTTACTTTCATAAGTTTATAGCTCTTGCAGGCTAAGTTCCTGTCTATTTTTTTCCGGTCTCTTTCACAGTCTATTCTTGTAAAGACGGGGAGGGGGAGGGGAGGAGGAGCTGTACGTGGTAATAGACGATACAACCAATAAAAGTAAACATAATTTAGATTTTGCTAAGGAACTAAACTGTGTAGAAAATTTTTTCCATCCCTTTGTACAATATCCGTCCACTCGTAGCAATCGCTGCGGAGGAGTGCAACGGTCGCAGCACGGAATTTCAACAATTTCCGAGAAATAATGTTTTGCAAAGAGAAGGCTTTTATCTTTGTTCAATACGCAGATTGCAAAGCGATAGAGAGATTTTCGCTTGGGAATAGAATGCCGAGTAAAGTGCGAAAAGCTCAAACGACGATACGACGGCAAGTGGATATGCAGCTGGCATTGCAGTAAATATAACGAGGGAAGTACTAAGCTGTAAGTGAGGGCATTTTCAGGGCATACGGAGATTGTAAGAGCGCGGTCACAAAATAAACAAAAAAGACCGTCCCAGAAAGATACCAGACTTTTCGAGCATTGTGCAGAAGTTGAAAAAATTCCTTTATACTGGAGCTAATGGAAGTAAATACTCCAATCAAATCTGTAGTTTAATTCTGTTGAACAAAATAAAGGGGTTTCTCTCATATGCGATAGACAGTGGGAACGACGAAGTTAATTAGTAAAAATGTTAGAATTCGCTGATAATTTTGGATAACTTCGCTAAATTTCACCCTTTCTAAAATTACAACATCTCGTACAAACTTCCAATACTGCACACCCAGGAGTCCAAACCGCCCTCCTTGTCAGCTAATGCTGCACATGCACATATAGTCAGCAAATTTACGACTGTTTCAATAACGCACTCAAATTACATGCTGTCCTTATCCTTTTTTTTGCCAGGAATACATCTTTGACATCAATTTTTGGATGCTTTTGAGATTTCTGATTTTGAAGAAAAACCCTAGTGAGAGTTGTTCGAAAGTGAGTGAGAACTCTTGCGTAAATTGCACGAGATTCGGTAACCTTTATTTTCAAACCTACATTCACCATTTTGTTTGAAAAAGAAAAATCAAAACTGTGTTGTAAGTCCTCTTATGGTCATCTAGTCTTCTTCTATAACAACCTGTACGGCATAATATAACAATTGAAATTCATTATTGTTCAGAATCGGAAACTACTGATTTTTTGGAATTACAATGCAACAACGTTTGGGCTAACCTAATACTTAGAAACATGAAAAATCCCTCGAGCTGAACAAATGTCTTAATTCTGAAAAAGTCCCAACTACAAATCACGACCCCAATAATCAATCTCCTTACACGTTCGATGTCTCCTGTACAGTTTTTGCAGATTCCTTTTACAAAGAACAATTTTCGAGCACTGATAACGATCATCTAAGGAGCTGTCAACGAAATAAGGGATAAACAGTAAATTATTCACTTATGCACGCTCATGGAAAATAGTACGAGGAGCTTTTGGAAATGAGTGGAAATCTCAATCGGATTAATTGTGATAAGTCAAAAGAGCTAGAACTTTCTGGAACGCTTCAATCTGAGAAGAGATACGGTCAAGACATTTATGACTATGTGCAGTGCATACAACGCAGGGGTATTTATTTCAATACAACGCAGGGGTATTTATTTCACTTACAAGCCATTTTCAAAAAATTTCTTCCCTTTTCTTTTCCTTTTAAGCACGAACGATGTATACAAGTGTACATAATCATTCTAGAACACTGGTTCCGTTAAAATTGTTTTCCAGATTGCTACAATCTGGTATTCGTGATATACCGTCGCAATGTACAAATACACATCAGTAACAATAATGAATCGAAGATACGAATTCTTTGCAGAAGATGACAGACCCAAGTCAGGATGAAGTCAATAAGACGTATTTTCACACAACTGGACGACTGAGACTAAAAAATAAAAATTTCGAGGGAATAAAAGCAGTGCGAAAAATGACCTTACAGCAAAAAGTAAAATTTTTTGTATTTTTTCAAAGAAACTAGTACGGATGATAATCTTACAGCAGAGTGAAAGATTTTTCCTCTTGAAGAAGTTGCTTAACTCATATGATAACACTTGAGATGCAAGAATTCACAAGTTTTGCAGATTTTAAGAGCGCCAGTTGTTTTGTTCTTGCAAGATTATTTCAGGAGCGCAGAACAAATGAGTAATATACTGCAGTAATTACAACCATAGGTTCAAGCGTTTTGCACCGAGAACAAAGAAGAGAGCAATCCAGAACAGTTTTCGAGGAAGCTCCACGTAAAAATTATGGCAGAAATACCTACTAGCAAATGAACTGCGAATTGGATGGATATAAGCAAAAGAAAAAGAACAAATAAACCATAATTGAGAAATTTTCAATGCCAACCTGGTCGCGGGGGTCTTGCGTTCCTGGGAAGCGTTGGAAACGACAGTCGTCCTCGCTGAAGAGTATAAGACATCGTGCCCGCCCTCGACGATGCCACCGATGGTGGTCGCCTAAAGACTGGCGAAGGTTGTGGTCCTAGATCTCCCGCCATCGATGATTTCCTCCTGATTGGCGGTGTTGGTGGAGCAGAAGCTGTCGTAGCCCTGATAGTCACCGATTCTGACATTTGCCTATCGTTCGAAATAGAATGAGCTGCTGGACGTGAAGGCGGCGCCGCTGGTGCCTTCACCGTATGGCGCTCTTCGTTTTGGACATTTTCCTGTACATGGGTGTCACTATCGACTTTGGATTGAGGAGAAGACTGATTAGTCATTGATGAGACAGCAGCAGGTGCTGTTTCGCAAACATCCGATGACTTGGGTGAGGAGGCGTCAGCATGAGGTTCTTCTTTTGTCGGAGTTTCTTCTGAAATGCTAGAGCGTACCGAAGATCGCCGCGAAGCAGGTGTCACCACGATGGTTACCGGAGGTTGACCAGATTTCGCGTTGTGATCTTCCTTGACCTCTACCGATAGAATTCTCTTGGCTGACTTGGCATCGTAAAAGCTGTTTTCCTTCTCCTTATGACCATCCAAAGTCGAGTCATTTGAGGTAGACGTGGTAGAAATGCTATTATCCGTTACTACGCTATTCTTCTCAATAGATGATGAAGGAACTGGGGCTAAGTCCACTTTTGCTTCTGCTACAGTAGTGAGGTCAGTGCCTGGAACTTCCCCCTTCGTAGAAGGTATTTCCACTTCTAGCACTTTCTGGAGCTCCAAAGTTGCCTCCTCTTGCTTGGGAATTCCATTGGCCTCCTCTTGCTTGGGAATTCCATTGGTCTCTGGCTTCACCCCATCGCTGTGGAGTTCTGGGATGTTCGCAGAATCATCACGATGGAGTTCTTCTTTGCTTGCCTCTCCATCGATGACTGGAGCCGGTCCATTAGAAGTTCTGTGGGAGACAGTGTGAACCTCAATGACAGTCTGCTTGCCGTCAGTATGGTCTGCAGCTGTAGGAGAATCACCAGTGGCTTCGAGTGCCTTCTGCAAAACCTCCAGTGGATCGGCTCGTTCCTCAACGCACTTCTCATGCACTTCGACAACAGTTTCGACACGCTTCTCGGTCACAGAACCATCAGCACCATACTCCTTGGTCTCGACCACCTCGACCGTCCGCTTCGACATGTCCTCCATAGCTGTGTGTGAGACGCGGGTCCCGCTTCGGCTGCACTTCGGCTTCTCGAACGGATACACTGACGAATGACGCTCAGAAGAATGAACTCTCTCTTAGCAGCACCCCGAGTCGAAGACAGGCGAAGCAGCAGCAGCGGCGGCGGCGATATCGTCGGTCGGCGAACGCCCTCTGCCGTACTGTGTATGTGCGGTGCGATGTGTGTGTGTGCGGCTGCGCTTTTTACGTAGACCGCTGTGAAGTCTGTGCGTGTTCCGCTGATGTCGTGTCGCTGTCGTCGCTTGTGTGCGACGAATCGTATCAGCTCTCAGATGCGAGAAATTGATAATGATAAGGGCAAAAAATCGTCTTTGCACAGGAAGAATGGAACTCATTCCGTGCGTACGGCACGGCGGTGACGGCAACACCGAAGCCGGTGGTGGTGGCGCGATAACGAGACGACATGATGGGCATGTACCGTTCGCCCATTGATCTGGGAAATTGCCCTTTTCTCAAGAGAATGGGAAAATACTGGCCTGTCACCAACACAAAACCGGATAGCACAATATTTTCTCGAAAAAAAGGAGATATGATGCAACACTTAAATTGCACCATTTTTCCAAAATCTGCGCTATCTTTTCCAAAACTTAACACGCGGGATTACCCCACCTTTACGTTTTGCATTTGTTTGCTTAGTGTTATTACATCTCTGCACTTTCAATGGGTTTCTGAACAGCCTGTAAGTTGTACGACGCGTAGGAGAGCTTTGTAAACATCACAAGGGAAAATAGTCAGAGTAAGGCAATTTTCTATCTTTTCCTTTCATCATTCCTTCAGCTCTTCGGCTACTACTGTAAATCCTCTGTCCATGACAGAGTCAATATCGTACATGACATCGATTCTCTGCGCGTCATCTGACATCAGAAATGTCATGAAAAATTTTCCAGACATCTAGCGAAAGCGAGACATTTGCTCGGATGTTTGGAAATTTCTCAAATTCTTGGCTTGATCCGGATTCTCATAGGAATTTCCTTATCTTTTTCTGATAATGTTCCGCTCGGAATTTCATCCATTATCATGTGTCAATGTTTACTCAGGCTTGTTTCAAAGATGACAGATCCACGCAAAATCATGGGCGCTTTCCGTTTCTCATTGCATTTCTAATGATGCAAATTATAAGCACATCGCGCTGCATACGGATAGGTAAGTATACGGTAGGAGATTCTACAGCTTACTATCTGCACTAGCCGTTCATTTTGCTCTTTTTGCACAAAATTTGTGTTATATGCTTGCTTCAAAAATAATTTTCTTTGCGAAATATTGATCGAGAATCCTCCCATTATGAATGGATTTTTTTCCAAATATAGCTTTGTCAACGTTTTACCTAGTCCCATGATTCGCTGCAACAAATTGCAAAGACACCAATGCACTTTGACATGACTATCACTTCAATCATGTCTAGAAATTTCTTCACAAACAGACCGATGTCCTCCAATATGGAAATCAATTTTGCAGAAAAATCTATCCAAGCTCTTTGCGTTGGGATTCATTTCGTATAACAGCTGTGGAAATAATTTTTTTTACTTTTATGAACTCGACCAAAAAGGTTCCTCTCAACATAAAGCTTTACAGTGAATGCAAATCCGCGTTATATTATACCAGTGTGGTTCCATAAAAGCTCTTTCTGCAAATATAAAAAGAATACGTCGATATCGCTGGAGAGTTGCCGTTTACATAGTCTCCTACTTTTTCGCTCAATATTTGCCTACTTTTTGATTTATTCGCACTTTATTTATCTCGGAATCATAGAATCCAGCAGATATAGAGACAGCCTATTCAAAAAGGTAGACAGAAAAAGAGGGAGCGGGGTGGGGCAGGGAAAGAGTTGAAAACACAAAAGGTTAGAAATTCACGAAGTTGAACATGATTTTCTAATATTAAGTTGTCTTATGAATAAGTTCGGTCGCTTTTGCGGCTCTTACAAATGCTGCAGACAAATTTTTGTCCAGTGTTTGGTATTTCTGGAAAGAGCACTTCAGTGGGAATTGGAGCGTAATTCTGTTTAGATAGAACTTATCTTCCAGGGAAAAAAGTCCGAAAAAAAGTGAGAAGCCCCAACTTTCTCATAGTGCGCAAATATAAGGAAGTTTGGTTTTTTGGTAAAAGATTTTCAAACTGGCAGATCACAATTTTGATTGTTATTTACTGAATAGGGAAAACTCTCCTGTATCCAAACACCAAACTGCTGTTCTTTACATTCATTATAACACGAAAACGAAGTGAGGAAGTCAAAGAATTGAGTTTTAGGAAATTTAGCCATGTTGAGGCATAACTGTCTTTATTGATAACAGAAAATTCTGAGTATTTGATATGTGATAGAGGAGACATTAAGTTACTTTCCTACAAAACGTCATAAATATAAAACAACAAGAAATTTTTTTACGACGATTTGAATGATAAAACAGATTTTTTTTAGTTCAACCTAATACTATGAAAATTGTACCTGAGCCCCGCACACAAATCATTTCTTGGCGTACTTCCTCACTCACTATAAATAGACTGTCAATAAACTGAACGTTTCTAGCAATTCTAGTGTGTATGAATCATTATTCGCTGGAAGAAATTTTCTAGTCGTTTGTTCGGTAAAAACTCTAGCAAACAAGCACAGCTTAATCATCACGATGTGTATGAAAACATTGCATATGGCTGGCGTTGAAGGGTTTTAGAAAGGAAGAAAAAGAAGAAGAGGATCTGTGATAGAAGTGAAGAGAGAAAGAAGAAGAGGAAACTGTCGGACACACACTATAAAGGTTCGAGCTTTTATTTCGAGTCAGAGGATTTAGATATTCAAGGCAAGACTGAATCATTTAGAAATCTCAATCTATAACAATTAAAGCTAGTCACGCTCAATGTAGTGCCCCTGAGATGACGACAACATTAGCGCGTGAAAAATAATGTGCTTGTCAATGCTGTAAACTTGCTGTTAACATGCGCTTAAAAAAGGCTATAGAGCGCACATTGCCAATTTTACGCGGTAATGTTGTCAGCAAAGCATGAACACAATCCTTATTGTCGTTAATTGTCGAATCTGCCGAGCTGTTGTATTTTAACAAGATGACAGATCACTAACAGGTTATATTAGTTTTGTGAAATACCTAGTCTGATTTTTTTGTGACATCTGCACGTTATGGTCATAAAACATTATCCAGGTTACGCGCAAATGTTGTCACCGCCGTAAAGACTCTACAATCATCGTCAAATTTACTATGGTGCGTCCGAAACGTGCCGTTTTTCTGACCTATCCTCTAATCATTCAGAACAACAATATACAAACACTCTAGAAAGGGTTCTATGCAGAATTTCTTTTTTTTTACAGCAGTGACGTTTTTGTTCGGATTCCTTCAGTATTCTTTCGAATAATCGCCACAACCTCCAACCCTTGCATTTATGTACCCTACTTCAGCTATTATTTGAAACTTTTGGTTTGGACGTTTGAAAAACTTTTGGAAACAGTCGGATAGACCAACCAAAATGCTACAGATTCCAATTTCCCATCAATAACTGGCTTTCCAGCATTTTCGAAAAGTTTTTCAAAACTTCAAACACTACGCTATCTTCGCAAAGTGGAACTTCCAAAAATCATCATTATTAAATACTGACTTTAACAAACAAGTGAGTTTTTAACGCTTCGAAATATTGAATAAATTTGCGGGTGCAGCGGGACATCAAAAACTAGAATTATGGCGATTTTTTCCTCGAGGCCTTCACAAATCAGAAAAAAAAACATCTGTCAAAAAGAGGAGAAGAAGCTGCATTCATTGACACTCTAGCTACTTGCCGTCTGATGTTCTTCGAGGTTTAAGATGAACAAAAATCAAATTTGGTAAATTTTCTAAAATAATCAATATGATAATTATAGAAAATTCGAAAAGCAGGTATCGATGCCTAAAATTGTATTACATTGCATTTAGTTCACTCTATATAACTATTATTCAAACATTTCCAAAAGTTCAGAATTCAAACATTTCCAGAAGTTCAGAACGAAAATTCAAAAAGAAAAAACAACAAAAGTTAAGGTAGGTGAAAACCAAAAAAACGGGTAGGAGATTCTGAAGATTTTTCAAGCGAACATCAAAAGAATCTCCGAACAATAACATTACGGCTGGAAAGAGGAAGGAATTCTACATAGATCACTTCTTGGAGTGTTTGTCTATCCTTATTCTGAAGGATTTAAGGATAGGTACAAAAAAGGCACGAACTTTCAGACCCCCTAATAGATTCAGATGTTATTGAGCCAAATATAATTCTCTGCAACTAATTTTTTTTAACTTTTTTAGTAATATACTTTTCTAGCTACTTCTTAAATGTCCCAAACTTCGCTGATAACAGTGTGATGCCTTTTTTTGCAAAGTGGCTTACAAAGAAAGTGCAGATTACGAGATAAAGCAGTTTGTATAGGTATCGACTGGTACTATCACTCGATACTCTCACTAAGCGTGTCGATTAGAAATCTACGAGTAAGGACCCGATGACATATTGATGTAGTGGAAACAACAAACGATTGATGCTTGACGGGGTCCGACATAGAAGTGGCAAAGGCAAACATCGACAACGTTTGGGGACAAAAGTGAAAGAAGTATCGTATAAGATCCAAAGAGTAGCAAGGAAATGGTTGTAGCGAAAAAAGCGCGCTCTAATTGAAATGCGCAAGGTTTGGAATCCTACTCAGAAATCTTCTCAGCTAGTTAAATAAAATGTGCCGTAGAATTGATCGAATAACAAATATCGGTCAATAAACATCACAACATTTGAAATACCGTTTTAAAGATCTCGGTTAGCTGGAAGAAAGCGAGCCCTAGTCGAACACAGCAACCCATATTTATAAGCACCTTTTTGATAGAATCTTTCAAGTCTACCGAGCAGGCTCCGACTCGCCAAAGAGAAGTGAAAAATACAATCAAAGACGGCATAGAAGTTACTGAAGTCTGAATTCACCTTCATGCCGGTGACTTGTGGTCTTTAT